TCATTCTCTTCCGCTGCGTTTCAGAAGTCTATACATATAAATCGAAATAAAACTTTCTTTAACACGAATTATTTTCCACAAGTCTAAATGTATTTTTTTATCTGTGTAATTCGAATTTAAAATAGCCAGAAAGTTTACTTCTATAAGTCTCTATGAGTAAAACTTTTATTCCCGTTACCTGTGTAACTCGATGTTATAACTACATTGTATGTGTCGTGTGACAGTTGTTACGTATGTTTTCCGAAGACTTTTTCTGTAATCTTCCCTTCGTGACACTTAACCTCACGTCTAGCCATGTGTGAATACAAAGGGTCTTTCATTGAGGAAAACAGTAGCTCTTACTTTTCTTACACTAACATTCTAAATAAAAAAGAATTAAGTAACCTTCTACAATCTGTTGAATTGATGACTTTTCTTTGATATTTTCAGTAGGGAAATCTCAGAGTCAATAAATGGCTAATGAAGTATTATTTGTTTTACCGAATCATACATTGATAACAGTATTGGGAAAGAACAATACAGATTACTCACCAAACGCAAGAATGATTATAATGATCTTAGTGATAGGATTATACTAAAAGTTTTAGGTATAGTTATGTATCTTTATTTTAGATTGGCATGTAAAAAAGCACAATTCCTGTACATTTTCAGGCAATAATCTGGAAAGTGTTGTTGTTATTATATTGCCACAGGGGCATATTGCAATTGTGCTCAATATCGTTAGATTTCTACCAATTTAAAACCAATCTACCGAAAGTATAACGGATAGTATTACGAAAGTGTTGAATACAATTCGCCGCTCATAATGTCCGTCGTTTCTTTAATTGGTTTCACTTAATATTGTTGGAGAACTTAAGCTTCTTTAAGCTTTAAAGAATTACTCGCGTTCTCCCGATAGATTATGGCGCTAGAAGTGAATCTCGAAGGATGAGGCACAGACAAAACAATCGGTTCAAACGAAGTACGAGTTGATTTGTTGTGAGACATTGCTAGATTGCGATTAATTCACGCTCGCGTGGTTACTGCGCCCCCCCCCCCCCCCTCGCGAGATTCGAGTTACGCGGTCAATCAGAATTCTCGCGAGGGGAGCAGGTCAGAACACGCGCCGAACGACGCGGTCGACACAATTGTTGGGATTATGGAATGAAAAAATGAATATGATTCTAATTCTTTGCTTAAAAGGACTTTATTTTATTCCTTTATTGAGAGAAGGTATATGGGCGAAAACGATCGAGCGACCAAACTCTACTGAGAGTCCGGTAAGAAAAAAACGCTTCTTTTATACCCTTTTTGGGTTCGTCTTGTCCACCAATCAGAGACGTTTTATTTGTCGCGTTTCACATTGTATACGTGACGCTGGGACCCCCAAACAGTCAGGGTACGATGTATATCTAATGGTACCGGTGATGATGTATCGCGGTATCTACTATATACAGTTTACATCACCGTCGTTGCCCGCTGACGGAACCGGCGAAAATGTAAACCGATATCTTAGTATCTTAGTACAAAGTAAACTATAGATTAATTTTTGTTCGAGGCTAACATTTCAACAACAATCATCGTCGGTTCCTTTGTAGATCGTTATAAGTGTATTAAAACCAATACAATGAAACAAATTATTTTTATTGCCCGCGGGATTCTACACCATGAGGATGATTCTATCCATCCTGGATGGAGGCAATTGCGGTAAAAGAATAATCGACAATTAAATCGTTTACGAAGATGAACGAACTTTAAAATCGATTTTCTTGAAAACAGAGCCCCGGATAAAAAAATGTTATACCAAATATTTTTTTTACTTCTCCACGTAGGATCATCCACTGTTCAGTTGTATTACGAATTTCGGCCTATTCGAAATGTTCGTAATGCTTACAACATCGACGATTGGCGGAGTGGGTAAAAGTGTCCGACTACGGAGCTGCTACGCTGGAGTTTGTATCCTGTTGGAGGAAGAGTTTTTTTTTATAAATCATACTTTATTTTTCCAATTTCATATTACATGTTTTATTCGCATGACTTTAAAAATATTCTTTTGGGCTTTTAAAATATTTCTTTTAATACTTGAATAATATTTTTGAGTAAAAATACATACAAAAATAGTTTTCGAGTATCTCTTATTTCATCGATTCTCTAACTATATATGTTCGTCATTAGAACCAACTGTTAAAAGAACATTCGAAATAAAAAAAGAAAGAGAATTTGTTTACAATCTTATTTTAAATTTCGATACTAAAAGAGGTAGTAAATACTTTTGGAATACTTGCAAGAAATTAAAAAATAAGTGGATCTACGCTGGATGTCAAGAAATGTCAATGTCAAGAAAAAATTGATGAATGTTTAGAGAAAATTGCTCTTGGGTTGGCTGTAACCCACATGATCTTCCACAAGGTTTTCTTAATCATATCACAAAAATAACTAATCGGCACGTTCAAAAATGTTATCCTCCAGATTGGCAGTTAAATCAAATTTTTTTCATTGACTAACCAAATCAATCGGTCGTTGGATCTACTTTTCTATGGACTCAACAGACTTTCCGTTGGATTCTATCACGCTAGCCACGAAGCGGTTATAAATTGATTATTATGTAATAGTTCTCAGTAAGTGCATTATATACAAGCTACATCAAGCGAAACCACAACAATCGATAATGTAGATTATTTCGGTTCGATGATGGTCAAAATCGGTAGACGAAGTGAGAAGCGGTGGGGAGTGTTGTTAACCTGTTTCACGATGCGAGGTGTGCATATATGTAGAATCAGCAAGCAATCTAAGTGTGAGATCTGTCATAATGACAGGAGTTCGTTGTTGGTCATCTGTAGTCATAACACAATAAATTCTCTCTAATTGGCGCCTAAATTGTACACAAAAATGGACAATTTGAGAAGAAGAGATACGATTATTCGAGCTTTGCGGTTTGTCTTTATAGTTGTTGACAATCGGTAACTATAAAAACGAGCTGTAAAGCTCGAATAATCGTATCCCTTCTTCTNTCGTTGTTGGTCATCTGTAGTCATAACACAATAAATTCTCTCTAATTGACGCCTAAATTGTCCACTTTTGTGCACAATTTGAGCGTCAATTAGGGAGAATTTACTGTACCATGAATTTTAAAAGTGTATATAGGGAACTTAGAAAAACGATGGTAATGATAGAAAACAACAAAATGAAAAACTATGCGTTAAAAGAAAAAATTAAATAGGTTTTCAATCCGCCCGACGCGACACGCTGCATATGGGCATCAGGCCACTCATTGGGCAAAATCTGTTATTTGTGTATCTATCTATCCATTTATTTATTTATTTATTTATTTGTATATTCATTTATTTATCTTAGTTATTCCGTTTAATTGTTAAATATTAAAGATATTTGTAGTTACTAAATAAATATTCATTATATTAATGTCATATCTATTTTTTTGTATATCCATGTACTAAAAACATTTCCTTTCAATAAAGTTTAGTCTATTTAATCTATTTATACATAAATAAATATTTACAGCTTATAGTAGTTAATTAATATCAAGAAATTCTTTCAAATTAACATACTTTCTAATACACCGGTTTTACGTTTCAGACGTCGATTCCGATAAAGAATTGAAATGTAGGGAGTATAAACTTTAATATGGTTTTTGGTTCATTCGATTTGTACGAAAATTATCAAAGTTATAGCAGGTTAAAGATTAAGCTGCTTTTAAAATAGACGTGACCGCCTTTTTGGATCAAATCGACCATTGTACGACGGCAGGAAAGGGCTACGCACAAGTTTCGTGCCGCCAATTTTTTTACTATGTGTGAATGATAATGTTAAGAAAAACAGGGTTGCCCTTACTGTAAAATGTCTGAAGAAGCTGTTTTAATTTTCTGATGTGCTTCTCACCCCATATGTGCCATATGAAATTTTTATGCGATGTATACAGTGAAGATTAACAATAAGTAACTCCGTCAAAGGATGCAAAAGATTCTTTTTAAAGAATTCCGTATGCGAACAGAATTTAATAATTGATTCGCAAAGCTATTTTTAATGGTAACAATATAAAAAAATATTTAATTTAAAAATAATAATATTTTTGTATATTATTTTATCATATTATTTACACCGTTTAATAGTTATTTTACATGATTTTAATCTTAAGATCAAATTTCCTCATATATTTTATGTGTCTCGCAACTAACTCGGATAGTATCTCATAAGCAAGTAAGTAAATATGAATATAGATTATTTAACTTTATTCAAAAGTTACGAACTACTATCATTATCATTTTCAGTTACTAACATACAAATATTATCTTCTATATTGCTTCTTTGTATCCTTGAGAAAATGTTACTTTGTAGCTCTTGATTCGGCTGTTTATGTCGGGACAGATAGGATCGGTAGATGCATGAGACTTGCTTTTACTCGTCACTACTATACCTCATTCTTTTGAATAAAGTCATAATTATATTGAAAAGTATTCTACTAAGTTTCATTTAATAGCCTAATTTTCAAAACCATCTATATCATTACTGAAACGACAAAAAAAAATCAATCGATTTCTAGAGAACATGTAAGTGTACATTGTAAGAATGACGATAACTCGCAAGTTAAAATTGAAAATTAACTTTACATTGTTTGGAAATAATTTTTTTCATATTTATACAAAGAAATGATTTCAAAACACCAGAACTCACATTCTTATTATACAATTCATACCCACAAACTGCTAAAATAATGTTGTAGGCTACTGTGCGGCTATAGCTACAAACTCATTAAGAACATCATCTTGCGAAAATATCTCTTTATTTTTACCTTTTAAAATCGAATCTTCTGATGGGAAATCAGGTGCGGATGCCTAGCTGATGAAGGAGTGGGATGAAGGTAGATGTACAACAGAAAAAGAGGGAGAGTACAATGGACTTCGCGCATGCTGGTTTCTCGCAAAGAGGGGGATGCTGACGGCGGAAGGGTATATAAGGGTACGTAGACTGACAAATCGCCACTTGTGTGAATTAATACGTAGCGATCGCTTTCCGCATCGATACACTAGACATATGCTACAGAGAAGGCGTATAAGTGTGTTCAGTGTTATATCTTGAGTAAGAATATTATCCAAATCGAATCACTACAACGAGATCTGTGGACGCCCATAAGCATCGTATTATTTAATCTGGTGGTGAGTAATCTGGTTTTCATATTGTAACATTCTACCGGAATTGAGTGATAGAGGGCGTGCTTTATACTTCGATTTTAAATTCCATACAGTTCAACAACCGATACTGTGTAAAATTAGAGTTGGGCAAAATTTTATTCGGATAATGAATAAAAGATAAAGACTAACGAATAAAATTTTATTTGACACTATCGAATACATAATTAATCGAATAAAAATTTATCTAGATGAAAATGTATTCGAATAACGATATATTCGTACAAGAATTTATACGGAATATAATTTATTTGAATAAAAATGATAGAATATAAAGTGTTTTTTCATAATTTATCGATTTATTTCTTCCATATTAATATTCGATTCAATTGATAAAATAATTTATAACGAAGAATTAATTATTCGAATAAAATATTCGAGTAAACGGAATTCATTTGGATAATTATCTTAGATAAATATTTACTCGAAGCACAATCCGAATGATGTCTAACTCTGTCTAAAGAGTTGAAAGGAGAAGGTTGAAAGAATTTACTCCTCGAAGCTCAGTCTTTGAAATTAGTCGACATTTGTACGGCTGAGTTGTTTATCGATTTAATCAGAATGTTTGTATGCGAATAACAGCAAAGGAATCATATTATAATCAGAGTTGGCCAGTCAGTTACTCGCAAATAATTTAACAATTCATTCGCAAGTAAAATGTTATTTGTTTATGCGAATACAACTAATATAATATATAATATATTCGCGCGTCATTCCGCGCGAAATATAAACAAATGAAGGATTTTTCAAAATTTTTCTCGCCCTCGCTCTACCTCTCGCTCTCCCTCTCGCCCTTCCTCACCCTCTCCCTCTCGCCCTTCCTCACCCTCTCCCTCTCGCCCTCGCTCTAGCCGTCGCCCTCGCCATCGCTCTCGCTCACCCACTCCCTCCCGCTCTCGCTCTCCCTCTACCTCTCGCTCTCCCTCTCGCTATCCCTCTCGCTCACCCTCTCACCCATCCCTCCCCCTCCGATGCGATGGTCAGCGAAGCGATGGATAGTGCTTCTAAGCGACATCCACTTAAAAAATTGAAGTTCTCCCTCCATTTTTACACTTGAAGTGACTGTTGTTGTTGAAGTGAGACTACTTTTTTTTCATCATATACTTTGAAAATTATCATCGTACATTGTAATTAAAAAAAAACCTCGATGTCATTAATAAATTCAATGATAGTTAGCACATAATTTCAGATTTTTGTCAAATGTTTAGAAACAGTTTCAAAATGTTTTCCAAATAATGTATTCGAATTTGTTTAGGAATCCAAAAAAATTTTTATACATGATATTTTTATTAATATATAGGCCACATTTTTTCAATTAAAATAATACTAAACACGATATGTTTTAGGTCATACTTATTCCGATGTATTTTTTATACTCCTTCTTGAAAGCATAAGCCAGGCTGGCGCCAGCCAGCCGGGAGTTCGTTTGTATATTGCGAGTCAAGTACCTTCAAAGGGGTACGAATTGGACCACATAGGAACACACCCACTACCATTTCTCAAGAAAAGTTGGGTATATAAAGGGCCCAAACACGACCAGAAAGCAGACTAGTTTCGAGTCTACCACCGACGAAGAAACGTTAGCAAGATTGAGTTTTATTCTCTTTCGAGCAGAATAACCGAGTAGGTACTCGTTACCAGGTTACAAGCCCCCGCCTACCCAGTGCGACAAACTGGGACCGCGATATAGAATCCGCGAAACACTCGTACATATATAATTGTGTCATAACCAAAAATTTGTAATATGCTATCTTTTACTAATTTACTTTACTTGCAAAATTCAATCATTCCATTTCCTAATTCGAAGCAGTAGTTGGTACAAACCCACGAAGATATACCTTTACTGCTCGAGGTATATCTTCATTTTTTCTTGTGAAAGTTACGAGGCATCCAAATATCAATTTCCACAAATCTTATTCTGATTACTAGGTGGCCACCCATGCTGAAAGAAGCATCGGCTGGTCCATGCATCCTATCCTGATTACCGGGTGGTCACCTCGTGCTGAAAGAAGCACCGGCTGGTCCACACAATTTCCCTTATAAAAAATCCAAATCGCATCCAACCTCCGGCCACGCATAGCTGCCTGGCCCTCGGCTCGCAACACGGGGATATAAAATGGGGATATAAAACGACATCAATCATAAATAATAATAATAAATAATAATTTGTCAAATGTCAAACTTCTTAAAATATATTGTTAAACAATAGAGGTATCAAAGTAGTAATAAAAATTTAAGAAAAATTTATTTTTATAACTTTTCAACTTAATTTTATAAGGCGTTCAAATACTTACATGGTATACAAATTCGATGCTTTTTATATTTTTTGTATTATATAGGCAACGTTTTTTACTAAATGGGAAGTTTTCGTATTTTGACATTTATATATTCTATACTTTAATATACCGTAAAGGATTTTTTCCCTTCAATGTATATTTACTTAAATATACAGGGTGTCCCAAAAATGTCTCGCAATCCGGAAGTGGCGGTTTCCTCAGGTCATTTGAACTAACTTTTTTCTTTGCAAAATTTTTCTCGGAGGCACCGTTAACGAGTTATTAACGAAAAACAGTGACCAATGAGAGGCGTGCTCAGCTGGCGCGAGGCGACCGAGCCAATGGGCGGAACTGGGCTTTGTGCGCTGGTTGGCTGGGCCTCCTCGCGTCAGCCGTACTCGATTCTTATTGGTCACTGTTTGTCGTTAATAACTCGTTAACGGTGCCTCGGAGAAAATTTTTGTAAAGGAAAAAGTTGCTTCAAATGATCTGAGGAACCTAAATATATATATATATATATGTTACGAGCTGAGGGCCAGGCTTCTTTGTGTGGCCGGAGGTTGAATGCGACTGGGATTTTTATAAGGGAGATTCGTAGACCAGCCAATGCTTATTCCGGCACGGGTGGCTACCTAGAGATCAGGATAGGATTTGGGGAAATTAGAGCTAGGCTGCCTCGTAACTGTTTTGCAAAAAAAAATTGAAGATATATCCCGAGCGGTAAAGACATATCTCCGTGGGTTTGTACCAATTATCTTCGAAGTAGGAAATGGAAATAATTGAGTTTTGTAACCAAAATAAACTGGTAAAAGCTAGTATATTACAAGTGTTTTGATTGTACTACAAATGTATGTGAATAAGTGTTTCGCGGACTCTATCGCGCTCTCAGTTTATCGCACTGAATCGGCGGGGGCTTTTAATCTGGTATTTATTATCTACTCGATTATTTTGCTCGAAAGAGAATTAAATTCGATCTCATTAGAGTTTCTTCGTCGACGATTGACTCGAAACTAGCCCACTTCTAATCGCGTTTGGGCCCTTTATATACTCAGATTTTCTTTGGGAAATGGTAGTGTGGGTGTTCCTATGTGGTTCGATTCCAGAATGTTCGTTATCGTACCCCTTCAAGGTATTTGACTCGCGATATATATAAATCTTTTCAGATCTTACCTTTGCCGCTCCTGCCTAATATCCTGCAAGATGAGCTATGAAAATGCTTTCAGCATAACATCGGGTGTTGAGAAGCATTGCATTCTTGCCTGGTTTCTCGTTTCTTGTTCAAGCGCGCCACCAATAAACAAATCGATCAGTACCTTTTGATCCACACACGTATTTTCAGCGTAAGACAGTTTGTCGTAGAAATAATCAACAGAGGAATCGTTTATTTCCCAACTCGTGCTTCGAATCGTCTTCTGCGAGCCAATTTGATCGGTCGTTCGTCGAATAGACGATCTCAAAACTCCTAAAAAATTTCGGCTACCGAAAGGACCACATTACTGGATTTCGTTCAAAACTACTTTAATAGCTTTCTATGCTGGCGTTGGTGAATCACGAGCTTCATCATATTCTCGTTCAATCCATATGTTCGTTGCAGTAGTTTAACCTGTTTCTTCCAATTAGTACTGTGGCTTGCATTGAAGAAGTCCGCCCTTACCGTAGAGAGGGCAAGACGGGTATTCCATTCGCTTCGCCTAACATGCGCGCTCGTAATCCCCACTCCCGAAACTACTCCCACTGGGAAACGAGAAGATGAAACACTACCTACATGCTAATCGATGCGAAGGTCAAGAGGAATCGGTCGCTCGCTTCACCGAATCACGTCTCCTGTTTAGCGCGTAACTTACAAGGAGACTGCAATGCCTTAGGTCACCGATTTAGTTCAAATTTCGCAGGATGGTAGATTTAGTTCCTTTGTTGGTGAAGATACATGATTATAGGCGCCACTACTCAATAATTTGTTAGATATTTGCAATTTAAGATTCATCACTGCTTAAATTCAATTCTGTGTGTGTGTTCAGTATAATTACTATATAATGGTCTAGTATAGCAGCAACGGATTAGTGTTCGTATGCATTAGGCCTGGTTTTAAATCCGGAGAGGATGAATAATCTTTTTTATTTTTCTTTCAATTCTTTTTTATTTTTCTTAATATTTTCGTTCCAAGAAATAGTACCTCCTATATCGAAACGAAATGTTTATTGCCTAAAGCTTATTATAAGAAGTTATGTAGGATGTGAGGAAATTGATTAACATTATTTATAAACTACTGATATTTAAAATCATGCTTATGTTCTATACATCCCTTCAATTAATATATCTAAATAATCGGGTATATATGTACATATGTATGTATGAAAATTCTAATTAAAAAATACTTAAATAAAAAATCTCAATTTTTAACAATTTAATATTTACAAAAAATTAAAAACGGAGTTTTGAACAAGTCAATAAATAATCACGTAATTGTTTAATAAGAGTATGTCAAATAAAAAATTTTGTTGCTTAGAGTCGCGTAATGAAGCTACAGCCACTGGGAAATACATACGATTTTCGTGATCTTTAATTGTTCACAATGTCAAGGTCAATCGATTTCAATGAAAATTTTAGCATGGATATAAGTTACCGAGATCTACAAATTGCATTTTTTAATTTTCGTTATAAGTTCAGATAAAAAAGTTAAAAAACATAAGT